CTCTCTTCAACAACAAACTGCTTTTTCTACTTTTTGGCATGAAGAATGAGCCACCTATATGTAGAGACAGTTTAATGTGTGAGCTTGAGTTTTGATCAAGTGAGCATTAGTAATAATAACTAGTAATAAACTCAATCAAAATTTTGAATATTTAAAATCTTAAAGTCACTAGAAGTCAAAAAATTCAAATTTATAGGCATATATGCTAGGGGTAAAAATTATGACAGAATGGTCAATAGTAGACTCTAAAACATAGAAATAGTAACCTATTAACCTAATGTTAGGAGGTTAACATTATTAACATATAACATTATATTACATTAATATTAATATATACACATTACATTAATATGTATATAATTAACTTATAACAGTAAAGGTTAATAATGTTAAACTATTAACATTAGGTTAATATTCTTTAGTGAAGTCAAATAAAATGTGAATTTAAGAAAGAAGAGGAATGACTTTAAAAATGTTTCCAGCTGCTAAGAAAACATCTTCAAGTATTTCTTCAAAGGATGAGTAAGGACATTAAGCTATGGTACTTAGGGTTAATTGGATAAACTTAACAGTAATACAACCACATGTAAAAATATCAACTTTTACAATATGATGGAAATTACATTTATTGCAAGTATCTTAGTTTTTAGTGAAAAGCTATAGATGTCAACCCTCCAAAAATGTGTTGAAGGAGCATACTATTTTTCAAACTTCTTTTAGGGAGAAAGTGAGTAAAAATATTTGAAGACCATTAATATAAAGAATAACCATTACTTATTCTCAATCTGCAAAATGACTCCTTTTATGGAAGGGAGGATTTAAAGGGAAAATAAAGACTCCAGGGTTCAAGTCTGGGGTATCCTAGGAATTACTTTTCTTTTAAAGTTCTTTCCCTAGTAAGAAGAATATTGGAAAAAAGAGGACACACAAATAACCCCAAGTAAAGAGATGGGTATATAGAAACACTTCAAATAGCGTAAAGCTGATAATCCCAGTAAGAAGCTGTTAGAGGTAAAGAAGATTTTACTGTAATGATATGTATATAATTAATCAGATTTATATTCCCAAGGCAATCTTTACACTCAGTTTACCTATACTTTGATTCTTTCTAAGCCCTTTTGTTCTTTAAGACATGGTTTAGCACATTTTATTTTATTTTTTTTTTCTGTAAAGGGATAAGTAATACATATCTTTGGCTTCTCAGGTCATGCAATCTTGTGTTGCAACTACTCAGTTCTGACATTGTGGGGAGACAGCATATAAACACATGCCATCAAAAATGAGTGTGGCTATGTACCAATAAGTCTTTATGGACACCAGATTTTAAAATTAATATAACTTTCACATGCCAAAAAACATACTTCTTTTGATTTTAAAACCATCCTAAACTCACAGGTGACACAAAAATAGCAGCAGATAAGTTTGTGAACTTCTTATCAGATATAGTACTTAAAAAGTCTCTTTATGTGAAAAACAGACTTAGTATCTGGAAGGAGACACAGGAAACTTGCCACTCTCATTGTATTTTGGTTAGTGTAATGGGTGATTGAGCTGGGAAGATTTATTTTCCAGTATGCTGCTTAAATTACTTGCTATGTGCTAAGGTTTGGATATGACTTGAGTGTGTCTCCTTTAGGATTCATGGGCTAAAAGCTTGGATCTAGTGTATCAATGTCAAGAAATGGTGGAGCCTTTAAGAGGTAGAAAGAAAAAAAAAACTGGGTTACAATAGCTCTTCCAAACAAACAAACAAAAATCCTGTTAAAATTTTCTTTTCTCTTTCCTGGTATTTTTTTTTCCACAGAAGTTTTTTATTTAATTAAATCCAGTTTCTCTTAAAGAAAAAAAAAAGAGGTGGAACATAGCAGAAGGGATTAATGCTGGTTTCAAAAAGTAAACCCCTTCTTCCAAGTATAGGTTGTTAGCAAGGCCACTCCATGTACTTGGCCCAATCTGCATGTGGCAATATCCCTTTCCATTTCTTCCCCCTGTTGTGATACAGACAGGGGCCCTTGCCAGAATGTCAGTGCCATGTTCCAGCTACTAGAACCATGAATCAAATAAACCTCTTTACCTAATAAGATATCCAGGCAAGTGTTTTGTTATAGCAACACAAAACAGACTAAAATACCATTTATTTGTGCTATCACTTCAAAAATTAAAGAATTTCCTTAAAAAAAAAAAACCCTTCAGGATTTGTAAATCTATTGAAACTGGTTTGAGTGAACCCTTTGTAGCTATCTGGGTTTAAAAGTTTTGTTGCTAGCTTTCAAGGGCACAAACGTGGTGGGTCTCCTGCCAGGGATAATCATCTGAATGATTCAGAATTAGGGGAATTGGACTTTCACTTGGGTGAGCAAATAATAAATTATCCTAAAGCTTATGCAATGAAAGAATGAAATCCTTATCTTATGTCATTTTTTTTCCAGGAAGAGCATGCCAAATGTCATGGATTTGGCAAAACTAAGCAAGAAAAGCAATAAATACAGATAATTTAAGTGAGCCAACATTTCTTTGGGGCCTATTGTGTGCCAAGCACTTGAATTTAAAGTGCCAAGTTTATATGAATATTACAGGAATCCAAAATGAAAATGAGTATACCTTGAAAGTATTAGAGAGTTGAAGTATGGGAAAGGTTTATGAACATTGTTCAAGGTTAAAAAAAAAAAAGAGAGAGAGATTCTGGGTACAAAGGTGCCTGCTATAGTTTTAGCTACTCACAAGGCTGAGGTAAGAGGAACAGGTGAGCCCAAGAGTTTGGGACTAGCCTGGGCAGTGTAGTCAAAGAGTCTCTCTCTTACAAAAATTAAACAAAAAAATCATTCAAGGAAAGAAAAGCACAGAGGGAAACCTAAAATCAAAAAGTTACAGATTTATAATCTTTTTCTTTCTTTCAGTGTATGTGTGTGTGTGTGTGTGTGTGTGTGTGTTGCTGGGGATAGAACCCAGAGCCTTGTACATGCTAGGCAAGTACTCTACTGCTGAGCTACATCCCCTACATATATATATATATATATATATATATAAAATTTATTTATCTATTTATTTATTTATTTTGGGGGTACTGGGAATTGAACTCAGGGACTCAACCACTGAGCCACATCCCCCACCCTATTTTGTATTTTTTTAGAGACAGGGTCTCACTGAGTTGCTTGGCATCTCACTTTTGCTGAGGCTGACTTTGAACTCATGATCCTCCTGACTCAGCCTCTTGAGCTGCTGGGATTACAGGCTTGTACCACCACGCCCAGCCCCTCCCCATTTTTTTTAAAGGCCAGAGGAAATGGGACTTAAGCTATAGGATATAAATTTGGGTTGGATATTAGGAAAAATCATTATTTACTTTTCATTGTAGAATTTCCTAATCCACAAATAGGGGAAACTATCTAGAGCAGTAGTGGCCTAAGTTTTGGAGGGCTTTTAACTTATTTATTAAATAAGCTAATAAATACATATATATATATATATATATATATATATATATATATATATATTTAGTATATGTGATTCATATGTGTGTTCATATCCATACTTATACAATTGGTATTTATGTATTGAAACTTGAATATCTCTAGTCTCAGACTAGTTTGTGAGTATGAATGAGATCCCATTATGAGCCACAACTCAACTGTCACTGGCATTGCCCTCAGGACCTCCAGCTCCCTATCGGAGCGTCTCCTCCCACTAACAACCTCCAAACACTTCAGAAGTGTCCTGAGGTCTCTGTAGGCTCATAATCAAGTTTGTTCTGACTTCTCCTCCCACTGTGCTTTGTTGGGGGGTGGGGTGGGCAGTGCACCATTCACCCAGTAGTTAGTTGTGTTACTCTGCTGGGTGCTTCTCTATGGGTTGTGATGCTGCTTCTGTTTCACAATTGCCCCAGGAAGGCCCTGGGCTCTCTGGGGTTCAAAGTTCCACCACACTATATAGCCGAGTTATTTGAAGATAAGGGTGGGGTTGAGATGAACCATCTCTCTTACTCGTGGTGTTCTGTGGAAGAGTCTGCCTTATACTTCAGTGTTTCCAAGCTTCATTTTTATTTATAGGTCTTCTCTCCTCTGGGTGGTAGAAAAACATCCAGAGTCAAACACAGCTACACTGAGAATTATGCATTTCTTTAATGACTGAGGTTGTGCTCTGGGATGAAAAATCAGGGTTCCTAGCACCCCCTGACTTTAGAATGAGTTTTGTCCCAGCAAGCAGCCTGTCTTCGTAGAGTCTGATAATCGAGTTCAGTAGAGTTTATAGGGCTACACCGGTGGCTTATTATGGACCCAGGCCTGTCTGATTCTCCCCCAGGGGACATAGCTTGTGTCCCTTCTCAGGGGACTCTCATTTTTGCTTCTTTACTCCCTCTCTAGTATTTTCTCACAATTCAGATGTTACCAGTATTGCCCATCTTTAAAAGGACCCTGAAACCATGTCATCTTCCAGCTACTTCCCTATCCCTGTCTTTTCACACCTACGCTCTCTGTTAGAGCACCCTGTTCTTTGCCTTAGTAACCAGTGTTCAGGACACTATGTAATCATCTGAGTGTTCATGTTACTTTTTCAATGTCTATTCCTCAATAAGCTTGATATCAAGGATCACAGATTTCTTTTTTCCACTGTCACCATTTTATTTCCAAAGATCCAGTAAGTAGTTTATGGTAGAATAAGTGCTCAGTAAATGATGTTTAAAGCACGAATAAACAAACAAATGAAGAAAACTGGCTTCTGGTGGACTACCTTAACAGAAGCCAGATGTATCTGAAATTGACTTCTGTGTGAGCGGGGACATTTGATGAGTAAGAGAGAAATAGAAGCCAAATAGGGGGGGAAATTCTAATGAAATAAATATTTGTTCAACAAAACCCTGATGTTTTCTTTTTGGGTAATAAATATAAATATTTCTTGGTAAACAAAATGATTTCTTGGTAGAGATAGGATAAAATGATTTGAAAATCATCCTCAGAAACCAGCGCACCTTTCATCATTCGATCTTTCAAATTACTTCTTAGGAGGTAGAGAACATCTTGGGAAGAAGGAAAGAAGAAAAGAAGACTTAGTGATATCAACTCAAAGTGAGCATTGCTTCTCTTGGACTTAGTCTGGAAATTTCCTCAGGATGAAACTTCAGACATTTCGGTGAGATTTACCATTAGTTTTCTTTTTACCATAATCTCTTTCTTTTTCTTCTTCTTTGTGTTACTGGAGGGTGAACCATGGCTTCATACATGTAGGCAAGTGCTCTAACACTGAGCTACACCCCCAGCCTTATCATAACCTCCTTTTACCCTATTCTAAAATATTACCCAGGTAAACATGAGAGTGAAAATGCAAGTCCCTGAAACTCCCACTAAAAGGCAGAAATAAAGAAGATCTTGGGGGAACACTTTCTGAATTTCTGATGTGCTGACCATGCACAAATTATCAAGAAAGTTTCAGCAGGAAGTATTTTACTACTGTTGTATGTTTACACAAACCTGGTCAACTTTCAAATAAAGTTTAAGATAATAAACCATGGATCCATTTTTTTTTTGTTTTGTTACTGGGGATTGAACTTGGGGGCACACAAACACTAAGCCACATTCCCAGACCTACTTTGTATTTTATTTTAAAGACAGGGTCTCATTGAGTTGCTTAGTGCTTTGTTTTTTTTTTTTAATATTTATTTTTTGGTGTAGATGGACACAACACAATGCCTTTATTTTTATGTGGTGCTGAGGATCGAGCCCGGGTCCTACCTGTGCTTGGCGAGCGCTCTACTGCTGAGCCACAATCCCAATCCCAGTGCTTTGTTTTTGCTGAGGCTTGTCTTGGAACTCTCAATCCTCCTGCCTCCGCCTCCTGAACCTCTGGGATTACAGGCATGCACCACCGCACACAGATAATAATTGATCTCAAAGCTTTTATATTTATATTTAATAATTAATCAAAGCTTTTATATTTGTTTCTGTTTTTCTTTCTAAATGTAAAAGCAAGTCATAACTAAAATGCCATATATTCTGTTCAAATCTCCAATTGCTGAAATTTAAATGAAAACATATGGTGTTTCCCTAGATACCTAAGAGTATCTCTTCTGAAAGCATACATCTTGGACATTTTTAAGTCCAAATAAGGTGTAAGCATGATAAATGTTGAGAAAGGCTATAGCAAAATGTCTACAAAGGAGCCATTTGTACTTTTGTAAATCAGACTTCCCTCTCCTTCCTCATGTCTGTGAACCAGCTCCATATCCACCTTGCACACTGTCTATGTATTTGCCTTTCAGGGTTTTTATTTGAAGACCACCATGATGAAAGTGCATTCTCAAATTGAAAAGTTTGAATGGGAACAAAAATGAATCTTATTGAACACTCCCATATACCAGCCATGGATGAATTTTCTCTTTCTGAAAATTTATTTGGTAAGTTGTCAAGTTGACTTAAATATCCATAAAAAAGAAACTACCATTTGGAAGTACACAAGGAAAAAAAACCCCTGAGATAATTAGTTCAACAGAGAGTCAAGAAAATGTTTTTGTTCCTTTTAATCTTTTAAGTACTCAATAAATGTTAGCTACCCTGCCAAGTTGGAGGCAGAGCGGACCTTGGATTCATTGAACCAAATTGTCTTTTTTTTTTTTTCTTTTTAAATAGATGAGGACTGCAAGAGCTTTGGGACTTGCCCAAGGCCATGAGGCTAGATAATTAACAGAGCTGGGAGTAACTCTAGGGCTAATTCTAATATTATTATAGCAGGTATAAAGTATGAAATCATGATTTGTATGGTTTAATATTATATTTATTAAAGACTTGGATTACAGCTCTGCAGTAGGTTTCCTTTCCACCATTCCTCCAGTGCTGGGGGAATCTATGGCACAGTGTTGGGATTAGTCATTGAAACTGGACTAAGGACAAATTGTTCTGAGTTGTTTCCAGTAGATCTGTAACTAGATGGTACCATAAAATGGTATATTGCTCCACTTTATGCATGTACGAAAAACATCTCCTTATAAAAGGTTTCAATTGAGAATATAAGCAGAGTCAAAATGAGGCATTTTGGGTGGGGCAGGCAGCCTTCCTGCCACACTTAAAACTATTCCCTTCTGTATAAGAACACTGCTGGGAGGCCAGGATATTCCCAGTCTTCATCTGACCTTGATATATGAACCATGGTAGACTATGACTGTGAAAATGTGGGGCACTTGAAATTCCCACAAGTTCAGTGTGTTGAGGTATGATCCCATATTTGGTTTCAGATATCCCTAGGAGATACTATAGTTTACTCTATTACCCTCCTAGTCACTATCATTTTACTGTGTAATGGGTTGTTAGGTCATTATTTGCATTACCTATTTACATGTCTGCCTGCAATATAGTATAAGGGCATCTAAGGATAGTGACCATGTTTCATTAATCCTTGAATCTACTCGATATATAGCAATGCAGTAGTAAGTTATACAAGTAGGGGGAAAGAGGTTGATGAAATAAGGAGATGTTGATCAGTGACTCTCAGTGAGACCAAAGGTGGCAGTAATTACTTATGAAATCCAGTTTTCCTCATACCCACTGGCTCTTATTTCTTTAGCCTGTAGATGCAGTCAAGGGCTGTGGGAGGCCCTGCCTCGATGTCTGGCCACTTGACCTTTTGCTTCTGGTCTGCTTTCCTTTAGCTCTTTAGAAAAAACGTTGTATAGACAGCTTCCTAATTATTGCTCTAACAATCATAACTCACAACAAAATTAGGACAATTAGTACTTACTAAAGACTAAGGAAAATTCCACTTAAGAAGGTTTTTCAAATAAAAACTGCCATTTCCTGCTCTAAAATTTTACAACACGTGTTGCAATCTCCCAGTCTGAACATTATTAAACCAATCTGTGCGGCTCCAGTTTGCACGCGGGGAGGAAGTGGTAGGTGTCTCTTACGAACTAGCCCAGTTGTAAGCAAGAGCACCAGGTCGTAAGTTCACCTGAGCAGCCAGGAGGTGAAAAAGATGTCAGTGAATAGAGAAAAGGCCGTTGAAGGTGCTTTTTGGCTGGAAGCACCTGAAAATGATTGCTCAGGATGCAGTGAGACTCCTGCTTTCTGCATTGTGCTCCCCTCCTCTCTCTTTGGCTACATCATTCTCACTGTTTCCTAACACTGCATCTAAGGTTTCTGCAAATGTGTAGTACAAGGTGCCTGAGATGCAATGTATGGCTGCTAGTGCTGGATGGAGCAGTTTCTTCACCTCTTTATCTGGTCCCCTCTTCTGGTAAGCTAATCACCATGTATGATTAGCTTTGTCCCACTAAGCTGTAGAGCCAGACCTAAAGCATTCTTTCTAAATACATTTCCTCTATGGCCTCAGTCTTATTCGACTCAACACATCTGGGCTAGAGGTAGGCCAAAGGGGAGGATGATTGATTCCTTCCTTCCTCTTCTCCATCTTTTTTGTGTGTCTTGCTGACACATGAATTCTTTGACCACCCCTTCCCTGAGTTTAGTGTGGAACACATAAGGAAAAAAGACTTTGCTCATGTATGAGTAGCCTCAGGGCCTAACTTATCACTCTGGATCTTAAGCTATGCCAGAGGTGCAGAAGGGTTAATCTATGGGTCCAACTAACCAGAAACCTGGACTCTTTTCCAATAGTCTGTGTACTCAAAACTAGTCATCATGTTCCAATAATGGCAAGTGAGGTTTATGGCATAGAGTATGGGAGAACTATCACTTTGTCCATTCAAATGTTGAGCACTGATGAACAGCTGGGTATTGGAGTAGAGAATTAGAAAAGATCCTGATGGAGAGTGGGCTCACGATAAACATGTAAGTAAGTAAATAAATGAAATAATATCAGGTCATGGTAAGTGTTATGAAAACAACAACATGGGACAATGTCATTGGGACAGGAGGATGGGCTGCCCTATCTGATGTGGTAAGGGAAAGCTTTTGAGGAATTGACAATTTAACTCAGACTGAAAGACTAGGAGCTGAGAACGTTCTGGAAAGAGGGAATAGCAAGTGCAAAGTCCTCAAGTCTGGACTTGGAGGGACCTTGTCTTCCCCTTCTTACTGAGGGCAGTAGGAAGTCTAGAGTCTAGTCTGACTTTGGACCTGCTCTTCCATTAGCCACCTGTGCAGCTGGAATAGCTCATTCCCGTTCGGTTGGTAAAACAGGATAGTTAGGCTAGTAACTTCGGGACCTCCATCTAGTTTTGACTTCTTCTTCTTCTTCTTCTTCTTCTTCTTCTTTTTTTTTTTTTTGGTACTGGGGATCTAGCCCGGGGCACTTTACCACTGAGCCACATCCTCAGACCTTTTTTTTATTTTTTATTTTGAGATAGGGTTTCACTAAGTTGCTGAAGATCTTACTAAATTGCTGAGGCTGGCCTTAGAACTTTCAATCCTCCTGTCTCAGCTCCCCAGTAGCTGGGATTACAGGTGTATGCCACCGCACCTGGCTTAGTTTTAACATTTGAGTCTACAAAATGTTGTAGTTGCCCATGTCAGGAAGTGGTGACTCTGTGGAACTCACTTTGTACATGACTTGACTGGTCCATTCAAGGTGGCCTTGGGCATGGTCCCTCTCATTGCAGGTTAGTATAGAGCCATAATTAAATCCCAACCTGAAGACACTGGGAAGGTGACCTCTATTGAAGACAAATACTGTTGAGCACTCACTAATGGGTGCTGGAGACACTAAAGACCTTTTCAATGATAACTTTCAGCCATGGGCTCTTCATTCTTCAAAGGTTTTGCCTAAGATAAAGGGGATTATCTCCACCCATAGAAATGATTAATCCAAAAAAGCAGAGCCTGAAGGAAGGATGGTGTGCAGGCAGTTTTTATATGAGAGGTGATGGGGGAGCAGATGTGAGGGACTGAGGTGATGAGATAGCGAAGGAAGGGAATCAATGTGAGGTGAGTGATCCTGATCACTGCTATGAGCAACGTGAGCTTGATGCCCTTGGGAGTAGCATAGAGAATTGTCAGTGAAGGGATCAGGGACTGGAATGTTTAATAACCAGTCTCTGGTTCCCATTGGTTGAGAGTCATCCTTGAGGGTCACTGACTCTCCTGTAGTTCTGGGCTGTCCTCGTGCTCAAGTCCAGCTCTTTCCTGTGCTGTTGGAGAAGTTCTGGTCAGAAAGCAAAAGGGCGGGCAGCATGTTCTTGAAATAACAGGCTGTCAGCCTGAGGTGAGTCTGTGCTCATGTAGGATAACTTGAGCTGCAAATCAAGTCAGAGGTGGCCGAAGGACTGTGACATCATCACCAGAAAAAGGAGGAAAAAGCTTGGGCAAAATGGAGCTAAAGATGAGATACTAGAATCACCTTCCCGAGGCCCTTTAATTTAGTCTGCTGCCCTGGTAAATCCAGATGGGAAACTAGACCATAGGTAACTGAATCCCCACAGATGACTCGGAATGGAAGGACTTGGTGACCTCACAAGAGAAGTCTCCTTTCCTTTGAGAGAGCCTGCAAGCCAGGAAACTCGGTCAAAGATTAATTCGGTGGTTTTAAAAAGGCATCTCTTTGAATGAAGGCAAGGTATATGATTAATGCATAATAAAAGGCAGTAATGACAAAGTCCACAGCTTTCCATGTTTTGACATAGTGAACAGGGTCAGGGGTGGTATATTAATTAAAATCTATATTTTCTTTTAGCAAATTTTGATTTAAAAACTAAAAAGCCACAGAACTTTTAAGACTAATAAGCAAAGCATTGTAATAATGGAGGAGAATAAACAGAGAAAGTGTAGACTTACACTCCCATGCCCGAAGTCCCCAGAGTGGTTCATCTCGATTCATTTATCTCAGTCATATTGGAAAAAGTTCACTGAATGTGAGTGGGAAAAAAAGAAATGAAATTGAAAAAAAAAAAAAAGTCTCCAAGGCAAGTGACACTTTCTGAACTTCTGTTCTCTCCCCTGTGAAATAGAGGTGCTAATGACTTCACAGCACAAGGGAGGAATGAATGGACTGTGTGGGAAAGTGTTCTGCAAACTGCAAGTCATCATGAAACATACTAATTAATCCAGGGTTTGAAAGGAATGTGTTATATTTAAATTGTTGAAATGATAAACACTACTTTGCTCATTAAAAGAAGGAAGTACTGTTTATCTTAGCATTGTTGAGTGCAAAGAATTTTCAAAGACCCAATAAAATTAACAATATGTAAACACATTTCTGTGTCCTTTAGGGAAGGGAACACATGATCTGTCTCACGTTGGCATTACAGTATTGCTAGCAATAGCTTTGAGATCCACGTTTTATATTCTTTTTATTATTGTATCTAACAGTTTTTCCAAAGCCCCATTTTGAGAGGCTCAACAAGTGGCAGAAGGCAGATCCCATACAATCCTCATAACTTACATTCCATTTTCTTTGGCTATTTTTTCTTGCTTCATGTGTCACTCAGCTATGTATAGCCATTTTTTT